GGTCTGAAGTCTAAGTGGTTAGGGCGGTGACGACATTACTTATGTGTGTTAGACGAGGGATACGAAGTGAGATTTGGAATACTATCTCCTACCTCAAGGAACCTCGTTAAGGAGAGAGGATAGGATCGATAATACTATTCACCAATTTTTGGTAGGAGTTGCCCATGACACTCTTATAATTGCTGATAGTCCTAGCCTTATTAGAGTAATTCGTCTGTGGACTATATTACTTTACAAAATATCTAACAAAAATCCTTTTTTACAACGTCATTTATTTTTCTTGCTAAAGTAAATTCTACATGCATTAACAAATTAAAGAATTTAAATAAGAACTTACAAAAGGTCTATGGATTAATCACTTAGATCGACGTTAAGGATCGCCCTCCTTGGGTTATTGGGATGGCAGCTTCTATCAAAGTTGGAATTATAAGACTCTCAACCTAGCTTTGAGCTCCCACCTTTACTAAAGTCGTACACTCAGCCCAGGTCTTCCATATGTGACAACAGATTTTGCTTTATTCGATTTTGATTTTCTCACAATTTAAATGAAATTTTTTTCTCTTACTAGATTTCCTCATGATTTGTTTAAGTCTTATAAGTTAGCTTAAATTTTCTGAACTTCATTATATTATTGTACTAACCCTTTTGCAGCAGTAGCAGAGGTCCAGGTATGCAATGCTATGTTTCATTGCCTTCTTTTATATAGTGCACTTTTATTATTCTTTTGTATATGCATACTATTTGTAATACCTCTTAGAATAGGAGTGCAATAGTCTGGTTGTATAGGAGGTACACGACGACAAGTATCGACCAAACTATTTGCATGAACACTTTAAATTTAAACCTTGAACTTGCAATTGTCACGACAGAAAGCTTGGAGCATACTTCATGGGCACCATGACTTAGATGCAAGAGAATAACATCTTCAAGAGAGCAAATAAGGTCTTCAACAACTAAATTTTTCTTAGTTTAAATAACAATCCATAGGACTTAGAGGTAGTCCGCCCAGTGAGACATAAATACTCAACTTATTTTTAGGTCTTTGCACAATCATGTTATGCAATATAAGCCCTAACTCTTTTAGGACTCCGAGGGCGTTATGCGGTATGACATAATTCTCCTATCTTCCAAGCCATTTTTTTGATCAGATATCATGCAAATATAAGCCCTAAATAGCTAAATGACAGGAGTAAACATTAAATGATTTCATTTCTAAAGCATAAAACCCAACAATGGGATAATTTAGGAAGTCATCGAGATTCGCCTCAAAATCTATGACATCCCCTACTTTTCGTTGCCTTGGATTCAAAAAAAAAGTATTGCTCCTATTTGATCCAGTTTCATTTGTTTTTTTCATGCCCAACCTTGAAAACTAAACTTTGCAAACTTGAAGATAAATACCTCTGATCATTATCGAAACTTTTATTAAGTGGCTTCGGTCGCTTAGGATGTAATTAACTATAGGAGTTTGTCTCTATAGGGAACTAAAGAACCCATGTAATATAAACCCTGCCTCATCCATTATATTAGGTAGGGGAACTTGTCAGCCAACATATAAAAAGGGTTCGTAGGCCAAACATATATCATAAATCCTTTAGTTTATGTAATTGAGTCCCATTAACAAGAAATGTGTCTATTCCTAGGGATAGGTGCATTGTTTGTGGTGTGGTGCTCAGTTATTTGAACTATTAAGGATATGAGGTCTTTTGGTCTCATTTTCAAAATTAAGATACTACTTTAAAAAAATAAAAAAATATACGTACATTAAATTAAACCCTATTTTTAAAACAGCGAAAACAAAGATCCTGAATCACAGCCGATTCCCTCCCGGGTTATTATGGATTCACAACAAATTTTAACTTTCCAATCGGCCAGATTGAAGAAGTAAATTAAGTACGAAATATTGAATTATCACAAATATTGAATAAGAGAATTCTTAAACAATTCTAATCCTACACATGATTATTTCCTAATGGAAGGAGAAAGATAAAGAAAACTACTTAGACTTCATGGGGATAACACAACAAAATATAATTTATATTAAAATCCAAGTTTACACAGTAAAAAAAAAACTCAAAAAAAAAAACAAAATAATTATCTAAAACTTCTCCCCGGGTTTGAATTTCATTTGATGACTTCTTACTTTAATAGACACACCCAAATATCCATTAGAAAGACTCTCACCAACACACCCTCACACACACACTCATGCCACACACACACACACACACACCTCTACTCTCTTTCAATCCACCCCTCTTTCGACCAACCAATGCTTACTTTAAATAAAGCTCTTAAAATCACAAAAAGACACTTCAAGTGCCTCTTCAAAACTCGTCCAAATTTATTGCACAAAAATCAAAACCATTTATGGCGCCTAGGCACCTCTTTTTCGATCCTTCCTTTTCTAGAATCGCTCTGATCATTCAAGCAAGAGGTTTCTTTGAAAAGGGAATTATAAGACCATGATTGTACTGGGTGGCATCTCTGAGTTACAAAAAGAACCAAAATAGTTGGTCGGGCATCGATTGAGCTATCAAAACCACCCATCTCAATTGTTGCCCTAAGCGATCGATTTATTCTCATGGTTGTTCTCGTAACGAGGACAAGTAGGAGGGTGAGGGTCGTCTCTCCCTCTCCAATCATCATCATTGGTGCTCTCTTTTTGTGACTCAGCATCAACGGGCTGCTTTACGAGCTTCTTCTCGATTATTAAGGTCGTGTTCATTCGCGATAATATGATGATTGCCATCTCTAGTAACTCAACCATTGATTTCAGGTCGCATAAGTGTTCACTTTTTACTTCCCCCGTCATAGCAGTTTGCACGATAAGCGGTTCTAGGTTCTAGAATTTTAGCATTTCTCGCTGGAACCTGGTGATGTACGAGTGGAGGGTCTCTCCTTTCTGTTTGATTTGTAAAAAAACAAGAGATTTCTTCTGTGGTTTTTGTGAGCTGACAAAGTGGGTTATGAAAAACCTTTTGAACTTGAAGAAAGAGGGGATGACTCGTGTCAGGCGGGCGTTGAACCACCTGAGGGTCAACTCCCTCAATTTGGTAAGGAACAACCAACATTTGAACTCATTGATGATCTCAATTATCCCCACCGTCGACTCGAAAGCAACTACATGGTCGGCAGGCTCGGTGAGACCTTTGTAGGAATCGAAGTTGGGTGTTTTGAACTTTTCTTGGGGTTTAGCCTCAGAGATATGTCAGAAGAAGTCATTTTCAGCCTATTGGAGAGCATTTGTTGGCGTGGTACAATGTTTTTCTATTAGTGACGACACAATGTTGTCTTGGTGGTTGGAGTCCTCAACTCTGTCTTCAATCAATTGAGATCTTCGACAGTTAGGCGTCGGTCTATCTCGCTAGTCATTGGGTGTCGATTCGTCCCACAATCAGGCTCTTGACGATTGTACTCTTGGGGGATATGACTCTGTGGGTTTTGGCTACCAATGGCCAATGCTTCTTGGAAAGCACCTACCATTTGCTCTCTCATTTCTAACATTGGTTACTCTTTCTTCTCCATCAATTGTTGTCACACAGTCTCCCTTGTGTTATCAATGGCCACTGATTGGCCCCAAGTTTCTTCTTGTGCTGCAGTTCTTTCCCTGCGTTGTGCTCCTCTTCTTATTGGTGGCATGATTCCACTCTCACCACACATTTTAGGATGTTAAATCCTAAAGTGTCTGGGAAATCACACCCAATGAATATAGAATATAAAGAGAAGAGAGTAAGTAAGAAGGAAGAAATGAATAGTAAAAAAGAGCCACAAACCCCTTTCTCATAAAAGGATCTCCTATTTAAAGGTATAGGAGATAATTGGAGTACTTAATTACATATAAGTTCTCATATACAAAGAAGCATAAGGGTATTAAGGTCATTTGTACAATACACAAATTATAATGATTAAAAATATATTTATAATGAATTTGCTTGGTCGATCATGATGACTCTCAATCCTCTATTCACGTTCGTTCGTTCAGTGATCGTAGGTCGAGTCACATGAGGACGAAATAGAGACCGCCTGACCAAACTCATCCGTGGCTTTGCTTCAGCATTCAATCAGCCTTCTTCATTCAACCAGATGCAGAGCTGTCCTTCGTTCGGCTGGATGAAGAATTGTCCTTCGTTCGACCTATGTATTTTGACTCTTTGTTCGACCATGTGTCGATCGACTAACTGACTCAAAGGAACAACTTTTTAGGGCTTTTGGGGAACTTTTTCCTTGACAACAACTTTTACTATGTTGAAATCAATCAATGTTTGTCTGATCTCTATACAATTTGAGCGTGAGTCCCTCTTTATTTTCCACATATCTATATTTTGCTCTGAGATTCATGCTATTAAGATCCCGTCATACACCATCCAATTCATATATATTTACATATCAAACACCTAAATTTTATTTTTTTTTATATTAATACCACCTAAATTATTCTACAAGTTAAAAATGTGACTATTTTTTTTTAATGAAAAACACATATTTAAGCATAAGTGACACATAAAAATCAAGCATTTAGGGGTTAGAAATGTGAAAACATAAGAATTAAGTAGTATTCATGTAAATCTTCCAAAAAACAAAAAACAAAAAAAAAAAACCTTTATCTTATCAAAGATATATAAAATTCGGTGCCCACATAAATAAAAAAGCGCATAAAAGACATTATAAATTTCTTATGAAATAGTATATAAAGGAGAAAAAAAAATGTGATTCGACCTACTCATAGGATGTCACCATTCTCTAAACCTGGAAAAATTGAAATTACAGAGTTTGGATTACCAGGTTTGCTCATTACTCACTGTCTTCATTATAATGCTAACCAATAAAATATTTGGAGCATGAGATAGAAAATAACTCCAATCTTAATAGAGAAGTAATATATGGACTGAGGGGCTTTTTAAGATCACTTCTTTATAATGAAATTCAGTGTGTATGTAACACCTATATTTGGTGCAACAAAGACCATTTATTGATAAATGAAGAATTATACAGCTTAATCAAAACAAGAACACAAAAGCCCATGTATCACAGCCAAAAATAAATAAATGAATCATCTGCAAATTACTCCTGTTAGATCATTCTACTTACTGGCCTTCCAAATCAGCTTGCATCCACACCATCTTCCTTGAATGCTCCCATAGCAGCTGATTTCTTAACTGGAAAATATAAATTTATAAACATATCTTTCAGCTCCACATTTGCAGTCATCCCTTCCAAAATTTTATCTTCTGAAATCAACTTAGATGTGCGCTCCTTGTCAACTTTACATGAATTGTGAGCAATTTTATCGCTCACATATTCTACAGAGAACAACAATTCAGATAACTTATCTTTCTGAACCTGTTTACTATATTTCTCTCTTTCACCACACCCAGACATTATCAATTGATAAGTATAGACTACTCTAAGCTGTCCAATTCTATACGCTCTGCTTAAAGCTTGCCTTTCTACAGAGGGATTCCACAAAACATTTAGCAGAACAACTCTTGAAGCCCCCACAAGACTAATGCCTTCAGAACAAGCTTTGGTTGAGGCAAGCAAAATTCTCGCCTCGCTCCCTAAATCATTGAAAAAATCCATTAATGATTGACGAGATTTTGAAGGGACCGAACCATCCATTTTCAGGATATGTTTGCCATCAGTCCAATCGAATGTTTTGATGAGTTGATCCCTTAGTAACATCAATGGCTCGACATATTGACAAAACACCAACACCTTCTCATTCAGTGCTTGAGATAGCCGTACGAGTTCTATTACGAACTTGGTTTTGACGCCAAAATTAGGATTCAATTTCCATTTCTGCAACAAATTCACATCAATTACTGATCTTTCCTGCTCTGATAATTTAACAGAAGTCATGAGAGAAGGATGTATGGAAGCCATGCATAGTTTGTACTCGACCTCAACATCAAAGCTGGATTTCCGATCCAGTTTTTCAATGATGTTTTTCTGGTTTTTGTGAGGATTAAGAAGAATCAAACATTCTTGCAAACCAGGAAGAGTAGCAAGGATATTACCATTATGAACATGCACAAATGGCTTGATTGCAGCTTTAAGTTTTGCAATTTTTGAAGAATCGACAAAATTGCTGTTCTTACTCCAATATTTCAACTTTATTTTCCCTCGATTCCTTCCACGAAAAATGTCCGCATCCTTCATACGTAATGGATTGACAATATTAGATAAAATGTTACCAAGGTTAGGCCGAACAAGGCACAACGTATTGGAAAGCTCCCTTAAATTGTTTTGAAATGGTGTTCCAGAAAGAATGATTCGGTTTTTAGTTTCTACTCTCTCAATTGCCTGCCAAATGAGGCTTAAATCATTCCTAGGTGTGTGTCCCTCATCAAATATAATGAGTCCTGGTTTCTTCAGCAGTGCTGTACTTACCGTGGCACCTTCAGAGCTATTAGCATAACCCCCAGTTGTAAGTTTTGCGAACAATGTGTAACTTATGGCAAGAACACCGCCATTTCTTTGCCATGAACACAGCTTCAAAAGTCGAATCCATTCTTTCTTTGATGACTTAATCATGGAATCAGCTTCGTTTTGATAGTAATCCTTCAAGTTAAGGTTATGAAAAGCGAGGTTTACTTTCCATTTCTTAAATTCATTCTCCCATGTGAGGAGCATTCCACGGGGGGCAATGATGAGAGGTCTGCATTGAGGAAATTGTTGGAGGAAAGATTGGATGAAAACTATTGTTAATCTGGTTTTTCCTGTTCCTGGAGCATGCGAAATCACACATCCACCAAGATGAGAGCTGCCTGGATGAGGCTTCAATTCATGGAGATGAATGCTTCCAGCTAAATTTTTCCAGATGAATTCAAATGCTTCTTTCTGATGTTCATATAGTGTTTTGCTCACTCCAGGAATATGGTCCCATACAGTTCCGGTAAGAAGATCAGAATCGTTTATGTTGGAATCATTTCTCTGATCAATAAACATATTGTTGAAGTTCCATGAGTTAAATTTGATGGCAAAATTTTTGTTGGATTTAGATTCTGCGCCATGTTTTGCCTTCAATTTGCATAGCAGTGATTTGTGTCAAATAAATGCGGGCAAGATGTGCAAGAAGAGAAAAGTAAATTGTATAAACAAAGGCTTTGCTCACCAGTGATGGTAGAATGAAATTAATTTTGTCTCGCACAAAAGAGCAAAACTTGCAAATTATGCCAATTTGGTCATCAAGAACAAACTCGTGCTCTCCTTTTGAACAAAGATGATCCTCAGGAAGCTGCAGCTTATCAAACAAATCATCATAAAATCAATAACAGCATTACTGTGATGATAGATGTTTCGTACTTCAAGTACATCTAGAGTTTGGTAAAATCTACAGATATCTAAAACATCATGTTGTCTAATGGATGAAAATAAATAACAGAAGAAATAAAAATCAAAATCACCAATGAACTTTCTGTATAACATTACATTGTTAAGTAAGATAACATTGAGGAAGATTTACATACATTACACTGCATTCTTATGTATTTACGCATCTAACATCTAAAGTTAAATTTTTGCATATGTACCATCTTGCATATGCATGAAAAAAGTGCATCTCACTTTTTAAATGTTAAGATAGTGATAATCTTTTATGTTATATGAAAGATTTGGATGCTATAAACATAAAAAGTAAAATTAAGGGGTTAGATATGTAAAAACATAACCAAACACACTCTATCTGATAGATAAGATAAGATTGAATCAAACACAGTGCACACCTCATCATTTCCATAATCACCAACATTGACTGATTGCAGAGCAAAATCGAACTCAGTCCACAATTCATCCGACATATCCTTGCACGGAGATTTCCAGGTCAGTTTTGTGTCTTCTTCTTTGAAGGAGAACAACAATGGATAATCCTCCACAAGCTCCACATCTCTGTTCTCATCACGACAAACCTCCTCTGCCTGAACAAAGATGGAATCTAGTAAATATTTGAGGAACTTATTATCCTTCGACGGATTAGCAATCACTCTCTTGCTAGCTATCCGTGCCTTCTTAGCTGAATTAAACTTATTTAAACTGCCAAAGCCCCTCTCATTCTCTTCAGACACATCAGAAGAAGATAACCCTGCAATAATCTCCCTTCCAGGCAAATCCAAAATTTCCACCCAATTAAATTTCTCAAGTTTTCCATTAACTGGTCTCTTTGGCAAAGTATCCATTGCGTCATCTTTCTCATTCTCAATTTCATAACCAGTTTCCGAATTTGAAAAGCCAACTACTTGTTCTTCATCATCATCTGAAACCTTGTCTTCGTAGAACCGGGTGTAAGAAAAACGAGAAAGAAAACCAATCTGCAAACGGGTTCTTTTCGCAACACAAGAAGCCCTCGACTTTAGATCAAAATGGGAAGGCTCTGATGTTGCTCTATTAGTAGTATAAGCTCTGTTATCAGGCGCTGCGGTGGCACAATAATTTGTAGAAGCCAAATCGCAATTGAAGGAATCTTTGAAGCTTATCACGTGTTTCGAATTAACTTCCTCCAAGTTCTCGTCGTCGAAGTCATCTAGAGCAATAACGGAGGCTGATCCCGACGGCGAAGAAGGAATATCGACGGCACTGCTAGGGATCGCCGGGGGTTTACGGATGATTGGGTTATAATCCGGTCGAGATTTTCGGCTCCGAGTTCTTTGGGCCACGCAAGCCATTGATGTTTTGATTCGTCCTTCTCCTTCACATTGCGGCGCGCGCACTGCGATTGCGAGAGGGAAGACGAACAGTTGCGGCCACGAGGTGAATGAAAGTGGCGGCGGCAATTTCAAAAAGGAATTTCTTTTGGGTGAAAATATTAATTCTATTTAACAAGTTTAATTATTTTATATATTTTTAGGTGGGATAATATAAATTAATTGTGATTAAGTAGATCTAAAACGCCTAAAACTAATCATAATTAATATCTTGTCAAAATATTGACTCCATTTCTCTTTCTCCTTCATTATATATAACACATAAAATTGCATTTTAATTTAATGAATACAAATGATTTTTTCTTATCATACACATAAATATTCTTAAAATAAAATACACATAAAATAAAAGTCATTTACATGCATATCATACAATTTCTACATATTGACATATATAACATCTAAAATTGAATTCTTGTATTTACATACTTGAATCTTTAATAAAGCTTCAAAATGAATGCATCGGGCAGGTAGATCAAAAAAATCACATTAATGCTTGATATGTAAATAAAAAATATTTTGAGTGCTATGTATGCAATTATCCCTAAGCATTTTAGGAGTGAGATGTATCTTTTTCAAGAATAGAAATTGTTATAATAGAACCAAAATTTATGTGGAGGATGTCCAAATTTTACTGGTGGTACATCATAGTTATGTTCAAATGCACTCAGACGAACTCGAACCCGTGACCCCAAGGGACTTAGAACTGACTTCACAGATACCGGCCAACGAGTCACGGCGAGCGGCACATGCACACACACAAACATTACATATTTAATTATAGTCAACAATTTTTAGGAATTTTTTATTCATTACTTTAGGACACACATATTATGTGTGTGCCCTCGCCTTTTTTAATATTATTTAACTCAGAGACTTTTATTTCATGTCTGACATGTGTTGGAATCGTGCTCATGTTTGATACATGTCAGACACTACACGGATCCTTAATTAAAACTACCCGTACATCGTAGATCATCAACAAATTTTCATCATTTTATATGAATCTCATGGTGACACGAATCTCGAGGCATTTTTTGAGCAAATTAAAAATTACTTAGGAGACTGGACTCTGATTTCAACAAACATACAATCAAACTAATTGACTCAATAAGACGAACCCAATGATATCAAAATTAATCCAATTCGAGTCAAATCAAGCATGAATTAAGCCGCTAAACCACTTTTTGAAGTTTTGTGTGGTTAATTGAAGAGTTAAATGGATTCCAAAGCTCATGAGCTTATAATCGAATCAAGCATCTCGATGAGATGATTCATAGGGCGCGAGATCACTCAACTACGACATTATTCAGACATTAAAATGCTCATAAAATGTTATCCTAACAAAAGAATTGTTCTGGGTCATCTAATGGAGTGGTCCAAATTTGTCGTATTTATAAGGGAAATCATTCCTAGACTATATGAATAGAGAGCTACTACTTCAATGAAAGAGGACAAAGAGCTAGAGGGAGACCTGGACCTGGAGGAAAAGGAATGGAATCCGAGAGCTGTCCTGGATTCGAAGACCTGACAATCACTTCCATAGCTAAAGACCATTGTTGACAACCCCTCGTCGGACATCGTCAACTACTGTCAGACGCCCCCTGCTCGTCACCATTAGTGGACCTTGTGAAGTAACGACGTATCCTATACAAAGTAAAGACATACTTTTCAATGCCCCGGGCAAATTAACGACGTATGTTTTTGGAGTAACGAAGTACCTTGCAGAGTATTGCACTGTCATGAATACTATGCAATGACGAACCTCGAAGATGGTGTCCTGAAGTTTCAATGATCACTTCCGATATCAATTGTTTTTTCCATTGTACAACGAAGCGTTCTACATACGGTCAATGTACTTTGAGAGACTTTGTAATCCTTTATGTATGTGGGATAATGTTTTATACTTGTACTCACAAGCTTATAATGGATCATTCTGATTGGGTCAAACCCCGTAGTTTTCCCTCTTTTCAAGTTTTTCACGTAAAAACTTTGGTGTTGCCACTTATTATTATTTTTTATTTGTGTATGTGATGGATTTTCGTACAATACTAAGACACTAAATAATCACTTTACCGTCAGGAACATTCAGGCATGTAATAGTTAGGCGTCTATGGGAAGCATGATCCTGCCCATCAAATAGCTTACAAAGTCTATAGAATGAGGAACAGACGCAATACTCATAATAATGGAATAGTATGTTATAACACCCACCACTCCAGAGGGTAATCACAAAGTGAGGGATGCCAAACATCTGCTTCTTCCCCCAAGAAAGGTGTTATCCTACTAGCGAAGCCACCTCAGGACCAACCATAGAAGATAGAGTGCGCATAATGGAGGAGTCCAAGCATGAGAAATTCAATTGTTACGCAAGGGTCAACAACCAATGCTCGCACAACCATACATGGTCTACTTGTCGCAAGGTTAACAACCTGCAGAGAATCCCCCACTCGAGAATACTTGTAATGGGCCTGCTCCTCGATATGATGGGATTCCTCCTCTAGCATGTTAAGATGTCAAACTCTTAGAAAGTATAAGTTCCACTCATTCATCTTGTGCAGCCAGACCAATCAGTAACTCTCCAGCGTTCACAGGAAACTTGGCTCAACCGCGCCTTATTGATGCTCCCAATGATATAATTCGCGATGAGTTACAGTGCTTGGTTCGAGAAGATTTTTCTCTGGGGGAAAGGGATAATTTCTTGGCTCGTCACAAATTTTAAGGGTTTTTGCCCTTCACCGAGATAGTCCATCAACACCCCATCTCATCGAGCTTCAAGCTTCCTAATATTGATTCTTATGATGAGGTATCTAACCCTTACAGACATGTTGACCATTAACAAACCATCGTGCAAATCTAACAGGATTCTGATTTGTTTCTTTGTCAAGTGTTTCCCTCCCGCCACTCTCAAGGATATGGCTCACACGTGATTCTACTGCCTTATGGGAGGGACTCTCCACACCTTCAACGAACTCGCCACACAATTTATAGTTCATAACAAACAAAAGGATTAGCAAAGATTCATTTAATCTTGCAGAAAATAATCAGAATAAGGGATAATAATTTAAGGAATACTTTTGAATATTTTTCACACAAGTTTGTCAGATTCCATGGGTGGATCCTGAATTACTAAAAGGATTTTTTCTTGCAGGACTTCGAATAAGACTTTTCTAATCATCGTTAATGTGGGAAACAATCTGCTCTTATGCTTACCTCGTTCACCGTGTTAAAACACAAATTACTATAGATGAGGTCATTGATGCACACAATGAGCAATTTGAGCGAATTAGGGGCAAACATAAGAGAATAACCTCGTCGATTCAAACCAAGCCTCGTCACGAAAGAAGTAAGAATAATAGAGAACCGTGAACTCCCTACTCAGCCTCCGAACCAACAATGTGAACCTAGCCAGAGAAGTATATGTCACTTGACATATCACATGCTAATATGATGTTAATTTATGTGATTTTCCTGCATAATTTTCTTGTTTTATTTCCCTTTTATGATTATTTTACACTAGAAAAAAGTATTTTTGTTGTATTTTACATGATACGAGTGTGGAGCTCGATTCGAGGAGCAAAAGGAGGCAATTGAGCCAAGTAACCATGACACTACAGGCTAGAAATAAAGCAACCGCACCAGATGCCAGAGAGCAAGACACGACCGCGTGCTTGTGCCCAGACACAACAGTCTTGCGCACAGATACTACGTGCCCAGGAAACTCCAGCTTAGCACGCCAGTGCTAACGCAACCGTACATACTTCTGGAGACTTTGGTGCACTCATGCTTATGTTTACTGCCAATTTCCATTTATTATTGTTTTAGGATTTTTAGGATTTCCATTCAAGCATTTTGATTGACTCAAACTAGACTCAACGATTTAGTAAACTAGAACTTCGCTTATTAGAATATTTTGACACTACGATTGTTGGATCAATACACGAACTTGTATATTACTTAATCAACACGTATACTTGTGTGATTGACCAACCCGCCTCATAATAGATTTCAAGTATCAAGTTTTTGACGTTATTGCCGAAGATAAGAGTCAAATTTTTAGAGTTTCGGATAGTTTTAGTTGGAGCACTTGGAATTTAAGTTTAAACCAAATCTTGTTTTTCATTTTATTTACATTTTTGTTATAATTAGGTTTTGTTCTTATTTTTGACAAATATAAAAATTAAAAAAAAAATAGTTTGCATCTTTATTTATGTTCATGTGAGTGCATATTTTCATGTTGAGCTATTGTGTTGTTCGCATATTTTTCTTTCTTATTTTTCGTTTTTTTTGCTTTCCCTGTTTTAGAATAGAATCACCCTTAACACACATGACATTGCATGCTTAGGAGTAGTTTTGGTGAATTCATACCTTTGCCGAAAAATAAAAAGCATTTAGAAAATTCAAAAAAATATAAAATTTAACAAAAACGCTAGGGTCTGTTTGGAACATCTTTTCGTCTGTTTTGTGTTTCAAACCGTCACCACAGCCCTATTTGGAGAATCGATTTCTTACTACTTTCTAGAAATTTCTGTGGTGGAATAGTATTTTTTTCAACATTACCTGCTAAAGTGTGGTAGATGTAAGAAAACTACTATCTGATTTTTTAAAAAAAGATATATATTTACAGTTACCATCATAACTTTACAACCACTTTTTTAAAAAGTTGCAGCCACCCCAAACAAATTCTTAAAAATGGCGAACCCTCAGAAAGATCACATAAAATCACTTAAAAAGTTTGTCAACCCATCAATAGAAAAAAATTCACCTAAGCATTTATTATCCTGCCATAGAATTTGATGTGAGATATTTTACATTATTAATTTTATGTTTTATTTTATGATTACGATGATTTTATTCCTGTGAAATGTACAGTTGTTGTGTTTTGCAGTGTATATAGGAGATTAGGCAACTCGGGGAGAAAAATAAATGAAACAAATGCAAAAAATGTCATAGTGCAACGC